TTCACGACTTCCTTTAAAAGATTTTAAACATTAGTGAGCTTTGCGTTTTTGGGTGCTTTTTTCTTTTAGCCGTTTCCGTTTTAAAAACATTGTTCTTCTTTGTGGAGTTTATATCAAACAAATTCCTTTTGAATGAATTATGTCTGTTCCAAATCACAGCAATCTAGAACAATTTAAGCGCGAGCGAGATATTTAGAAAAAAAGTTGTAAAATATTTTTTGGATCACCCTGTATATTAGGCGTCGTGCCAGGGCTAGGGAAGACGTGCCACGGTTCTCAAAGCCACTATCTGTATGCTTCCCGGGAAGCTGAGAATGTTTCTGAGTGTTCTATGGTCTGCTGGTGTAATAATATAGTGTAAAGCGCATAGAGCCTGCTGTTGAGCGGGGATATGCGCTATACAAATGCTATCTATTATTATTATTATTATTATTATCTACCCTGTGATACAATCCCATCCCAATCTATGTATGATACATTTGGGTGGAAAAGAGTAAAAACCCATAGGATTGAGATTGCGCAAGTTTGTCATGTGTCCTGTTATCACTCGACGATGCACTCAATAACGGGGCCCAGGTTTGTCCGTGGTTGGGTAATCAACCGTTTTCCAGCAAACTCTTTCTCTTTCTTACACTCTCTTTCTCTGTCTGTCTGTCTGTCTGTCTGTCTGTCTGTCTGTCTGTCTGTCTGTCTGTCTGTCTGTCTGTCTGTCTGTCTGTCTGTCTGTCTGTCTGTCTGTCTGTCTGTCACACACACACACACACACACACACACACACACACACACACTCTCTCTCTCTCTCTCTCTCTCTCTCTCTCTCTCTCTCTCTCTCTCTCTCTCTCTCTCCACCTCCCCCCCCCCCCCCCCGTTTTCTCCGATCTGCTGTTCCCGATTGTCTTTGACAAAAATTTGATTACACAAAGAAATTAACTCAGATTGAACTGCCAAAGGCTTTTTTTTTTTGGAATGGGGTTTTGTACAGGGTGTCTAGAAAAGAGGATCCACATAGAGGACAATAACTCGGTCATCAGTGCACTAATTTTAACAAAACTTAGAACAAATAAAATTCAACAGGGGGGGGGGGGGGAGTATCAAGTTTCTTAAGATAAGGAACATCCATCAATGTCTTCGACAAATATCACGTTCTAAAGTGTTCAACCAAATTGGGTCAAAAGAAAATTCCACTTCTTAAAAGCGTCGGGCTACATAGGCGTGATCAACCCGTTCTGGTTTCAGGATAAAGACGATAAAACTACGACAGTCACATCAGATGGATAATACAAATCTATAGGCTCACAGTGCTGAGAAAGTTTGGGAGAGTTTGGGAAAGAGAAGGTGTGTGTGTCATGCTGTGAAGGCTTGGTTTCAGTGGGATGTGGCCACATCCCCAAATGTTTAGAGTGGCCCTTGTGTGGTTGCAAGAAAGAGAGACAAGAGTCAACGGAAACGAGCCTCAAACGATCGAACAGCTGAAACTCAATGTTGAACAGGACGTCCAAAGAATTAACCCAAAAAACGCGCCACGCGGTTATTCAACATTTCCAGTGGAGAATTTGGAGAGGAAATGGTCAACACCTGAAAATGTAAATAGCCATCACCTCCGTGAGTTTATTCGGCAATATGATTTTTTTAAGAAATGTGTTCTTCATTGCACAAATTTAAATTGAATATTTAAAATTTGAACACTGTGTATGATTGTAAAAAGTTGCAACGTTTTGCGTTTGTGTTTGTGTGTGTGTGTGTATGTGTGTGTGTGTGTGTGTGTGTGTGTGTGTGTGTGTGTGTGTGAGAGAGAGAGAGAGAGAGAGAGAGAGAGAGAGAGAGAGAGAGAGAGAGAGAGAGAGAGAGAGAGAGAGAGAGAGAGTGTTGGCTGAAATTAATATTGTTCGATTATGGTGGTTGACTCATTCCGTACTGAACAGACAAATTAATATCCCTCTGGTTGAATTTTATTTCTTCAAAGTTCTGTTGAAATTGGACTAAAGATGACCGAATTATTGCCCGTTGTATGGGTCCCTTTTTTCATCAGATACCCAGTAATTCGGATGGCATGAATTTCCGTTAACTCTTAACTCCTTTTCCGAATGTCATTTTGGTCAATTCACCCCCCTCCCCCAACCTCCCCTTCCCTCACCGAAAAAAATGCTGGCAAAAGAAAAAGGTACCTCAAATAAAATCTACACGAAGTAGCCTACAATTTGTTCTCTCTACGTCGACGTATTGAAAGCCTGTAAGTCTGTATAGTGATCGATATGTTGTACTTGCACGCGTCCACTGCCGCGGACAAACCTGCATCGACCTGCCGTTACGTAATCAGAAAAGCACCCCCTCCCTACCTCTCTCTACCCCTTCTTCGCACCTTCTTCCATTAGCAAGCTTGCTTTGTGTCCATTCTATTTTTTGTTTGGGGGGGGGGGTATTTTATTTTTACTTGTTTTGTGTGTATGCGTGTGTGTGGGGGGGGGGGGGGGGGGGGGGGGGGGGGAAGGGGGTAATCCGTCAATGATATAATATGGCATCCTGGTAGTCGTCACTCTCTTTTTCCTTCCATTCATCCTGCCAGTTCCTTATGACTCCAAACATGTAAGTTTAAGTTCTTTCTGGTCTCCCAGTTAAATGAGAAAGTTTACTTGATCATTCGATATCAGGCATACCTACAAATAAAAATGTAGAGAAGTATGTCAATGAAAGATTTGTCCGAGCAAGAGTGATATTAACTATAAGTAAGTTATGAAATCTTTCAAAGCAGGTTTAATTTACATTGTAGAGTTCAATGATTAACTATTATGGTGACCACTCTCGCAGCTTGGTTAGTTGGTTTATTCATTAGTTCTGTTGGGCGATCGAGTCTGGGTGATCGGACTGAAAACAAGTTTTCGTTGTTTTTGAGGAGACCGAGTTGGGCGATCGGCCCTATCTGCCGATCTCATCCGTAGTGGGCACCATGAAACACGTTTGTTTTTTAGTCGACAGGGATAAGGTTCCGATTGTTGTAGACTTGTAGACGGCCAAGTGGAAACAATAAATTGTCATAGGCTTTCTGTATCGGTGGTAGACTGTGAGTGAAGTGGAGTGGCTCCTTTCATCTTTATCACAATATTTTGAAAACCATTTTTTTTCCTACGGCATATTATTTTCTTTTCAACAAGATCATTACGTCTATTTACTGTTGTCTATTTGATATTGCTGATTATCTAGGACCATAGCATATGCCAATATTATATCGGTAGCGTGGATGATCGTAGGCCTAGGCCAAGAAATCAAACATTGCTCGGGAGCTCTCGCGGTCTTCAGGTTACGGTGTTCGCCTCTCATTCAATAGATCCCGAGTTCGAAACCTGTCACTCAGCAACGAATTATTTTATTCTCTTAAATTTTTAATTTTTTTCTTTCACCTCATTTCTTGCTCTCTAACCATGTTCTGTCGTCTGTTTTCGTCTCCAATTTCCCCCTCCCCCACCCCCCGGGCCCCACGCCTGAGCTCCAGACTCTTTCTGCAGCCTTTCTATGACACTCCTTGGCTCCTTCTTACTCAACTTGCTGCTGTCTTCCAGCCACACCCCTGATCGTAGGGTAAGTAAGATCTAGATCTATAGCCGTCTAGGATAAGAGCGAAAAATAGCGGAGGTCAAGTGTGCAAGTTGCGCACGTTTTCAAGATTCCTTGGTGGTCCAAAACGATTATATAAAAGCTTAGTTGGCTTCATCCGCCAACTGGGCACAATTCCAAATTAATGTTTAATGTATCCCGATCGTTCATTTGACCATATGCAGTCGCGAGCGCCGTAAAACACTTACCGAAAACCAAAAGTCAAAAGAAACAAACATTGCTCGACAACCTGGCTGGGGGGCTCTGGTGGCCTAGAGGTTAAGGTGTTGGCCTCTCATTCAAAGGTCCCGGGTTCGAATCCGGGTAGCGACCGAAAAATTTTCTTCTCAAAGATTGTCTCCTTTCACCTCCTTTCCTGCTCTCTAGCAATGTTCTGTTGTCTGCAGCTTTCATTTCCACTTTCTGCCCCCACCCCCTCACCTCCTTTGCCCCCTCCTCTAGGCTCCTGACTCTTTCTGCAGCCTTTCTACTGCTACTCCTTGGCTCCTCCTTACTGCTGTCTTTCTGCCACACCCCTGATCTTCTGGTAGGAAAGATCTACACCTAGGGCCTAGCCTTCTCGGACAATTTTTTAAGGGCGAAAAATCTCGGAGGGCCCGTGTGCAATTTGCGCACGTTAAAGATCCCTTGGTGGTCTAAAATCAATAAGAGTAGGCTTCGGCCACCACCCGGGCAAAATTCCAAATTTCCTACCAACTGAATATATTACGTGTGTCCCGCGCGCTCATATGACCTTATGCAGTTGCGAGCGCCGTAAAACACTTTACAAACCCCCCCCCCCCCCCCCCAAAAAAAAACAAAAAAACAACCTGGCTGGTCGGGGGTTCCCCGCTGGCAGCAAGGCAGAATTATTGTTGGCCAGCCACAGAGCACAAGCCGCAAGCACATTATTGGCTAATCTATTTATAGCGCATTGGGGAAAAAAGTAGAAAGTAGAAAGAAACACATTGGATTGTGCAAGTTGTTGACTGTGTGTTGTCATCACTCACACAACACGACACGCCCGATTAGAAGATAGAAAAGAGAAACAGGTACGTGCAGTAGACCAAATCGTTATTGACTAGAAGAGTAAGGTCTTCACTGAGCTCTGCAACACAGTGGATTTGAATTTGGGTGTAATCAGTGAGTTAATTGTGGCTATGTGCTCAGGGCACAACAGGGTCATCAATCCTGGAACGTTTATTTTAGACTTGGTCTTGGTGGATTCGGGTAATAGGTGAGATTGTCAGACTTCTTTGTTATTGTTTTCTGTAATTCTATTTTTTCTGTTGCGAAAAATTCACCATAAACATCTGGAGATGGCTTATTTGGGACTTTTTAAAGCTGTGAACAGTCGGTTTCATAGGGGTACGCCATCTCTGTTTTGCACGACATCCGGAAGTGGCGCTGCCACTAAAAACGAACGTAAAAGACACACACAGTATTGAATTTAAGTCGGATAATAAAGCACTTGAGTATGTTTCTTGGGAATATCTAGAGAAGAAATGATAGTATGAAAAAAGAATTACATAAAACAGTCGCTATCAAAGAAATCTGATTGTTCGAATGTGCCTCTAACCACCATTGCCATTAGGATGATTAGCCTACCCCTTCATTTAGAAAGTCAAGCCCAAAAAAATACGGAAGAGGCTAGCCGTACTAGACTCGCAGTCTAGCCGTACTTATTCTTAATATGATGGCTAGACTGGCCATTTAACAAAAAATAGGCCTACTGAATTGTAAATATACTTTTTTAGTGTGCAGTACCTAAAGTATTTGTATTTGAGACGAAACCAGGTGCCTAAATGACAGTGCATGTATTTTAAACCTCCTGTTTTCTAATGACTAATGTTAATAAGCTAAGATAAGTACGGCTAGACTGGCAGTCTAGCCGTACTTAAGTACGGGTAGACAGCCAGGCTAGCCGTACTTAAGGACGGCTAGACTGTCAGGCTAGCCGTACTTAATATTGATGGCTAAATTGTAAATGAAATTTTTAGTTTGCAATGCCTAAAGTATTTGTATTTCAGACAAAACAAAAAGGTGCCTTACTGACTTGCATGTATTTGAACCTGAATAATTACTAGATCTAGATCTAATGAGACCTGTGTACTTGACAGGCTTGAGTCGATAGGGCCAAACCTAGATCTAAGTACGGCTAGACTTGCAGTCTAGCCGTACTTAAGTACGGCTAGCCACTTCGAAAAAATACATTCTAAACTGCGTTCCAAACTTGGAAAATTTTCTCCTTTCTCATTCACGTCCTTCCCTGCTCTCTAACCACGTTTTTGTCGTCTATTTTCGTCTCCACTTTCATCATAATGGTTACACATTTAAATTGCTAGAATATCAAAATAGATCTAACTTGAAAGTTTCAAATAGGAGTCTACAGTGGCAGCGATAGCAAATGTTGGTTGTGAGATAGAGGGTTCTCATCAACCCTTCCATTTTATTTTGACGCAGAGAAGAGGCAAAAAAGAGGATCTGGATTTAACCTTAATCAGGGGTAGAGGTGGGTCAGGAGTAACTTAAATCGAAGTGACCAAAATTATAATTATTCGGACTCTGAATTGGGTCCAGCATGACGTCCATTCCGACTTCCGACCCTTGTTCAATATTTCCAGCATTTACGAACATTTTTGCGATTATAATGATAACAATCGAGACATGACATTTAATATCCAGTTACTAGATCTGTCTAAACTAGCCCTCCCTGCATCATTAGTATGAACAGATGACTTTACTAAGTTGAGCTGACCTTGCCGGGGGCAAAGTTAATTATGTTGACCAATGAGACTGTACGTAGCGTTCACGCACTCTCAGCTTGCTGAGGGAAGAGAGATGTTGGGAAGAGGCCACGGCTGTTGGTTTTGTGCGATGTGATAAAAAATAATTACAGAAAAACTATAATCACACAACAAAACCAAAACATGTGGAAAGACAAATTGTGGTGGAAGTAATGATTTTATAATGCTGTAGTGGTGGTGGAAAAACCGTGAGTTGTCGGTTACTGTGTACTTAGACACTGCCATTGGGTAGATCTAATGAGAGTGCAGTCTTTTGAATTTTGACACAATTACACGGTCCTAGTTGGCAATTCTAGTTCTAATTCTGGTTTTACGTAAAATCCCCCAAACAACAGTTATGAAGTAAAGTAACCTCCTTACACTCACAATAGGCTGACTCAAAGTTACAAGCTGAGTCCAAATAAATTTTTAATAAAACATTTTTTTCGGACGAGTCCGAATAGATAAAAACCCATTCTGGCTCGAGTCTGAATAGATAAAAATCATATTCGAACTCGAGTCCGAATAGAGCTGATCAACTTAAATTTGGCCTGTCTGTGGCTATGCATACGGTCCTCTAAAGTATAAATTTAGATTAAAATTAAGTTATATGCTCATGGCCTTGAAAATCTCTCTATAAAGGGTGTTATTTTGTAGCTTTTAGGTGTTTTTTTGGGCCCTGAAAACGATTTTGGCGTGTAAAAAGTTGCAAATGGTTAGTTTAGATTTTATGAATTTGTCGCTTCCCTACTACAAAGCTACTATGTAATCACTCGTCCCAGGGTGGGGGGGGGGGGGGGGGGAGCACGCATAAAGACACAAAAAAAGACTAAAATATCGTTTTTATTGGTCCAAAATACGTAGGATAAACAGACATGTTATGTATAAAGCAGCCGTGAGACGAAAGTGATTCTATAAAAATACCGTTTATAATTCTCTTTTGGAAAGGTTTCAAGTGAGGGCCGTTCGCATAGCCATTTCGTTAAATTTAATATAGTTTAGGTCCTGTAGAATCAGGTTGCTTTTTTATAAGTTTTAAAATTACTGCAGTTGAACCTGTGTTAGACGGCCACGCATTGTGGAGGAGAAAAGTTGCCGTTTAAGACAGGTGTCTGTCATGTGCCGGACTGATCAAATTGACGAAAACAAGCCATTTACTTCTGAGGTCTCAACCGGAGGTGGCTGCTGGCTTTGGTTTTTTGTTGCTGTTGTTGTTGTTTTTGTTTTTTTTAAGTCAGGAGAGGATAGGACGGTTTTTGTGGGACTTTTTCACTTTTGTTGGAAGTTTTCTTATTTTAAAAAAACAAACTTGGATCCATGAAAGGTAAAAGCAAAACAAAATGTGTCAGACAAGAAGGGCAAGTGCCATAATAAAACAAACAATTTGGTCGCTACCACTAGACGAACGAGCAACATTTCTGTCCGGAGTTTGTGTTGATTTCCATTGTTATGGAATGGGTTTACCATTACGGACTGAGTTGTGGGTGGGGCTAATGGGTTATGACGGATAACACGCTTCCCAATGGTCAACGATCATAAACATTGGGAGCAACATGACTGCTTCATCCAATGGGACAATAAGGACAGGTGAATGAATTATGATGGCTTGTCCACAGCGCCAGGGGAAAATACACAATATTTTTACAAATCCTGGCCGTCTCAGACATATAAATTTGACTGTGGGTTGATAAAATAGGGTGGCCGCGGCCGCGTTAGACAGGTGCCTGTTTTACACAGTTAAATTATGTAGAAACTACACAAGGAGTGAAATGGAAAGTGGCCGTTTGTACAGGTGGCCGTCATGGCAGGTTCGACTGTATTTGTGCACCATGAAAGGGCGATTGTCGCAAACAAAGAGTTTGAATGTATCATCCTCAATCTCAAACTCAAACCTTTCAAGACTGGATTTTGTTTCTATCCCTGTTCCAGTCTTTGAAAATAATTGGAATGCAGTAGCCAACTTCTAATATTACTGTTGCAGCACAATAATACACTGTAAAACCTCAGTATGCATACATGCCTTAAAAACTTCTGTGATGGTCACTTTCTGTAGCCCCCCAAGTCTAGGAATTTCGCAGACTATAAATAAATAGTTTAACAATAATAGGTATATCGGCCTACTCAAGTCCCATCGACTAATATGTATTCAGCTAAATCTAAGATGTTTAAAATCTTGGGTCTGAAGAAAGTATGGAGGTTTTGTATTGTCAGTCGTGCTTGCTTTTTATAGATTTCACGTATTTCACACCTTCATGGACACAATTTAGGTCATTTCAGAGTGAATGCAATGTATCACTGTAGCTCTCAGATAGAGAGAGGTGCTCAAGAATCCAACTAACTGACACCTTTAGAGCTTGTCTCCTTTAGCGGGACGCAACGTTGCGTCGCGTGTGGTCCTTTCCGCTCTAATAACAATCAAGTAAGATTACAAAGAAACTGTCTCCTTACACGCGATGAATCGCATGTGACCGTCACCAGCGATTGGTCCATGTAGCGATTGAGTCGAGGGTTTTGTTGTGTGCGACAGATTAGGAGGGGTGTGACAGGTTTACAGCATCACCATTGGTCAAAATACCAAGCCAAGGAGTGCCGGTTGACACACCCTGTGTGCTGTGGTACAGTGGTGGTTGTGGTGAGTGTGTGTGTGTGTGTGCGCTCGCGTTGTGTGTGTGTGTGTGTGTGTAGGATGTTCATCTTTAATTCGACCCAATGCATGTTTTGTCAATCCAATTTTTTTTTTCTTTTTTACTAACAGCAGCAGGAAGATGAGGAGGAGGAGGAGGAGGAGGAGGAGGAGTTACACGGGATTGGCCGTGTATGGAGTAAAAAATGTCAGCGGCTCGTAGAACTCTCATCTGACAGACTTTGTACTTCCTTGTCCATCTTGAAATTTGCCACTGTCTCTATTCTGTGAATTGCGAGTCGTGCAAGGGTTTAGCCCGTCGTGCGTGGCTAAACGTTGCGTCATGCATGAGAGACAGTTTTGTCGCTTTTGTGGAACGGAACAAAATTTTTGCACGATGTGGTCGCACACAAGGATACACACCTTACAACTCATCACTAGCAACTGTCGTGTGCGAAGTAATGTCGTGTCACGCATAGGAGACATAGGCTTAGTGTTCTAAAGTATAGCCTGACCATTCATTGCTCCATAGATACTAGTCCTGTAGTTTCGGCCTAACAGCAACCCCAGCAACAAGCCTTGGTTGCTGTTAAGTGTAGGTTGATTTTAACTGAGTTTTCAGTTGGGGGTGGTCTTATACCACACATGCACGCACACAAGTCCTAATCATTGGATGTGGTGGTGTTACGTCAAAGAGTGACAACATAGGCAGTGTCAGCTTTCAAATGAGCCGATGCTCCATAGTTATGTTACTCACAGTCACAGTGGCTTAGACTAGACTTTTCCCCCCAGCCAGAAAACTCCTGAAGGAAGGTAATTTTCGGTACATGTACTATGACCTTATTGTGTTGCAAGTGCCATAAAACACTTTCACTTACTAAAACAAAACTACCATTGTAATGGTTCTCTTACACTTTTTATTTCCCTGTCGTTGTAGATTTAAAACATTGGCAGAGTATTGTAAAAACCAAAAATCTGAACTGAATTCTGTCCTGAGATTTTTCCTCCCATTTCGTCTTTCAGTTTATTGTTTCCGTGCTTTGGTGTGGTTTGCTACTTCTTTCCACTCAAATATTTATCGTCTTTATCTCTCCTTTTTTCATGTTTTATAGTCTCTTGTAATACCTCTAATCTTCGGCACTAAGTTGACCTTATTGTATTGCATTTGACTAAACAAAATTGCTGTCATAATACTTCTCTTATTTTTTTAATTATCTCCCTGTCGTGATAGGTTTAAAACATTATAGAAGGTTGTGTAGAGCATTGTAAAAACCAAAACTCTGAACTGAAGTTCTGTCCCGATAGATTTGTTCTCCCTTTCCGTCTTTCGTTTTATTGTCTCCTCGCAGAAGGTTGGAGGACACCACTGGCAGGTCCTACTGTTCCTATTTCCCTCTGTTGTTTCTGTTTGTTTGTCTTGCATAACCATTATTGTGTTGGTATGTGGGTGTTTAGCGGGTGCTGTGGTTTAGTTTGCTCCTTCTTTCGGACTATCACACATCTATCGTCCTGGTATCTCCTTCTTTTTGTGTTTGTTATTCTCTTGTAACACCTACAATCTTCAGCATTTATGTGACCTAATTGTGTTGCAAGTGCCGTGAAACTCTTACTAAAACAATTGCGTTGGTGTGCCTCTCATTACTACTCAATTTCATCGTCTCCTGATTTATTATTTTTTTTACAGTAGCAGCAGGACAAAAAGTGTTGAGACATGAATCCAGCACCGAATGAGAAACCTCCGCAGTATGAGCCTGCAGCCGGTGGCTACCCTCCCCCAGGCTACCCCGGACAGGCGCAGCCTGGCTACCCTCCACAGCCGCAACCTGGCTACCCCCCACAGCCGCAGGCAGGCTTCGGCCCACCACCCCAGACCGGCTATGCCCCACCACCCCAGACAGGCTACGCTCCACCTCCGCAGCCAGGCTACGCGCCACAGTCTCAGACTCACACCAGTAAGCTCTTTTTCACTGTTATCATTATATGATTTCATTGTCTCTGTACTCGATGATTTGGCTGGAAAAAATTAATTTTTATTTTTTCAAGACATCAGTTAAACCCTTGGAGCTAACACCATTTATCTATCTATCTAACTATGTGTATTTATAATATAAATGGGTCACGACGTGGTGGAATCAGGCGCTCATCAATTTTTGGGCATATGAGGTTATTGGTATCATCTTAAAGTTTGTGCATTTGTCTTCCTTTTGGTGAAAAAAATATAGATCTATGTTGAATAGAAGTCAAAATATTTGCGATTGAAGGAGATCAGGGTTGCCTGGTTTCAGAGGTAAAATTAGCGAGAAAATGTCCACCAAAGTTTGGTAACTTCCATAGCATGAGTGTTCTTGGAAACTGAAAATTAATATTTTTTTGTACCTTTAATCAATGTTTTTCAGTAAAATCCACACAAACATGTGTTTTTAAATGGACTTAAAATAAAAGGCGTTGAGTCCAAAAAAGAAAACTATAAAAAAATGGCCTATCGGCCAAAAAAAAGCAGATTTCTTTGATTCCATTCTTTTGACGAGCGCCTGATTTCACCACGATGCCTCACACACACATATATATGTATTATAACATTCATTTGCTCCGGTGTAGTTTTTGAAGTTGGAAAAAAAAAAAAAAGCAGTTACACTTATTAAGTTAGAGCTCAACTGTAACTCCGTGGTTGTCCATGTGTGTTCCTGTGTAATAAAAAAAAAAGAATCCCATTTCACTGTTAAAGCATAATAACATGGTTGTCTGTGTGATCGTGTGGTTTTTTGTTTTTTTTAAAAATCTTTTTTAACCCTATGCGTACGCGCCTGGGGTAATTTTGTACCCCAGGGGTTGTATTCTTCCCATTTTAGAATATTTCTAGTGGAAAGATCTCTTTGAAACTTTCAGTATTTCTCAAAAAATCATTTTGACAGACTGATATGCAAAGTGTATGGATCAGATTAACGAGTAAATTTCCTCTTTGGAAAGTGGGGGCACAGAGTTCCCCACGTCGTATGGATACGATAGTAAAATACGACGTACGCATAGGGTTAAGAAGCCCATTACACTGTTTAAGCATAACAACATAGTTGTTTGTATGTTCCTGTGTAGTTTTGGTTTTTTTTCATGAAACCTATTGCACTGTTAGAGCATAACAACATCAATGTGCGTGTGTTCCTAGTTAGATTGTTAGAACATAAAAATTAAACCATTGTTGTTCATACATGCGTTCCTAGTTACATTGTTAGAACATTACACCCTGTTTATACATACATGTGTTCCTAGTTACTTTGTTAGAACATAACCTCATGGTTGAACATGTGTTCCTTGTTACTTTGTTAGAACATAACCTCATGGTTGGACATGTGTTCCTTGTTACTTTGTTAGAACATAACAAGATGTTTATACGAACATACATTCCCAGTTACATTGTTGGAACATAACTCCATGTTTATACACACATGTGTTCCTTGTTACATTGTTAGAACATAACCTCATGGTTGAACATGTGTTCCTAGTTACATTGTTAGAACATAACAAGATGTTTATGGGAACATACATTCCTAGTTACATTGTTAGAACATAACAAGATGTTTATACGAACATACATTCCAGTTACATTGTTAGAACATAACAAGATGTTTATACGAACATTCCAGTTACATTGTTAGAACATAACAAGATGTTTATACGAACATACATTCCTAGTTACATTGTTAGAACATAACACCATGTTTATACATACATATGTTCTTAGTTACATTGTTAGAACATAACATTTTGGTTGAACATGATGTGTTTCTTGTTACTTTGTAAGAATGTAAGAATATAACGCCTTGGCTGTACATGTGTTCCTAGTTAAATTGTTAGAACATAACACCATGTTTATACATACATGTGTTCTTAGTTACATTGTTAGAACATCATCATCCAGTGCCAGATCTACGACAGACATCGGTGATCATGGTTCTCCATTCATTCCTTTGCTGGGATGCTCTTAAAAAGGCTACGTTTTCCTGGTCTTTCCCTGTTACCCATTTGTTTAGGTTCTCTATGTAGGTTGCTCTGAGCCTATGTCTGCCTCGTTAGAACATAACATCATGTTTATACATACATATGTTCCTAGTTACATTGTTAGAACTTGACATTTTGGTTGAAAAGTTTTTCTTAGTCTAGTTTAATTGTAAGAACAAAGCTCATGTTCCTGCTTGTCTCCTACAGCCGTGGTTGTTGCCCAGCCCCTCGGTGGAGCACTTCCCGGCGCCAACATCCGCTACATGCAGTCCCCGGCGCTGATTGTCTGCCAGCATTGTCAGGCAACGGTGACAACCTCCATGCACTATGAAGTCGGACTCCTCACTTGGATCATTGTGGGAGTGCTTTGCTTGTTCGGGTATGACATGCCTCGTCCCTCTCTTCTCCCCCCCCCCCCCCCCTACTCTCTCTCTCTCTTTCTCTCTCACACACACACACACACACACACACACACAAACACCCCAACACACACACACACACACATTTTTCCTCTTACGAACAACCACTTCCTACTTCCTTCTTTGCCTAAATGTGAGGCGTGCTGACAAAATGAGAAATTTTCAATGATGGCCTGGAGAAAGTTTCAATGATGGCCTGATAACTATAACAATTAAAATGGGCAAATGATCAACATTTTTCGTTGTTCTGCTGTCGCTTTAAAAACTACAAGACCTGCTTTTGAAACTCACCTTTTTTTTTACACTTATATGTGAAATATAATTTGGCGTGATGTTTTAGGATGTAAATCAAACAAACAAAACTTGGAACCAAATGCAGATTTGATTGGAGCTGAAGTCTCTGCAGGATGGTGGGTGCTCTGGTGTGGTTTATTCCTTCTTTGCAGTCAAATATCTATTGTACTTATACACCTTGTGGGTGGTTGGCGGGTGCTCTGGTGTGGTTTGCTCCTTCTTTCCTATCAAACATCTATCTTCCTTATCTCTCCTTCTTTTTGTGTATGTTACTCTCTTATAACACATCCATTCTTCGGCACTTATATGACCTTATTGTGTTGCAAATGCCGTAAAACTTTTACTAAAACTAAACTTATTTCACCTTCTTTTCTGTGTTTGTTACTGTCTTGTAACCCTCCAATCTTCGGCACTTACATGTCATAATTGTGTTGCAAGTACCATAAAACTCTTACTACAACAAATAGGTACTGGTGACCCCTGGTGTAGTACATGCTGGAGAGATGTGAAAGATGTGAAGTTGGGTTGTTTTTTTTCTCTGTTTCTCCAGATGTTGGTTGGGCTGCTGTCTCATCCCCCTGTGCATTGATGCCACCAAGGACGTGGAGCACCGCTGCCCGAATTGTCAGAACGTCAACGGAAGGTTCCGGCACATCAGTTAAGCCGGGTGTCCCCGTGTGGGAGCCGTCAGTTGTCACAGATGTTGACTTCAGGCTTTTCATCTCTGTGCCTGTTTTGATCAATGCAGGCTCTCAAAAAATAATTTGCTCACAGAATTGCTTTGAAAGTTACGGTCCACCTTCGGAAAGATTTATTTCGTCGGACAGCTGTTCAGATATACTACGCCCGAAATTTTAAAGTTTTCCCATTTTTCCACATTTCCTTAATCTGTGATGTCATTTGCATGAGCTGGAGAAATATTTTGTGGAAACTCAAATTCTAAATATTGATAAAAAGCAAGGAAAGAATAGATCATATGGAATGAGGGTACAATTGCTTAAAGAATTAAATACTTTTTTTCTCTCTCCATTTTGCTTTCCGGGCTTGGAACGGTTGAACAGCGTGCCTACAGTTTGATCTTATTGTATTAAGTCTACACAACAAATGATTTATTTAATCACTGCACTGTGCACATGTATCCAGTTATTTCTTCAATGAAATTCATTTGGGGGGCTGAGTCAGTTTGTCGTTGAGACATGTATCGTAGTAGTAGGGAGATGGGTTATGTAGTCAGTCTTTACCAATAATGTATATGTATAGAGAGGAGATTGTGTACCTTTGAAGCTTTTGATATATATGTGTCACAACGCAGTGGACTCAGTTGAAGGAGATGGAGGGTTGGTTGCCTATTTTCAGAGATAAAATTAGCAAGGAAATGACCACCAAAGTTTGATTTGATGACTACCATAGTTTGAGAGTCCTTCGAAACCGAAAATTTACATTTTTTTGCCTTTATTCAACGTTTTTCAGTAAAATCGACACAGAAATTTTTATTTAAATGTACATAGAAGGCGTTAAGCCAAAAAACACCAATTCTGTAAAAATTGACAAATCTGCAGCAAAATGCCGGTTTCTTCTATTTAATTTCTTTTGAGCGTTTGATTTCACCACGATGCCTCACATATTATTTATTACAATAAATTATAACGTACTTTTACTGTCGTCAAAGAAACGGAAAATTTGAAAGAACTGCTACTTAAACTTGCTAGTCTAAATACTTCCCAACATGTGGTAAAAAGTTTTGTTTTATTCATACAGCAAATCGCCAGCCAGCTGTGTAAAAATGCGCTAAGCCCAGAGAGGAATATTTTGCAGGAGAGAGAAAAACCTGTTTCATTCCTGTTAAACAGTTGTAACTACTTTATATGTTTTTCTAGCTTTTTTCAAATTTTAGAATTTAATTTGAATTTGGACAGAAGTAACTTTTGAGCATTTGCAGCTGATACCACAAATATAAAACTTTGCTATTTGAAGAAAATTGAAAATTTTGGGCTTAGTACTTTTTAACAGCCGGCTGACGTTATGCGTTCTTGTAAGGGGATCACTGCTCAAAAGTTTTGTTATATTTAATTTTTTTCTCTCTTTGGGATCGCTTAGACTTTGAACCTGCATTTAAGGTTGGTTTTCAGATATTTTTAGCATTTGGTTTTGCTTATTTAGTGTCAGATTATCTAGTTCCTGGAAGCAGTGTGGTGGAGAATATGTCGTGTTTAATGGTTTTCAGGACTTTCAGTCCCTGGCGCTATACAATTTAAATATCGGAGCCAAGGGGGCGCAAAGTTTGAACTCTTCGATCAATACTTTTTCATAGAAGGGAGTTTACTTTCAGCGAGATTACAACCCAGTGAGCAGCTCTAGATGCTGCATTTTACCTTGAAGCCGGGCTTCTCTACTTTTGTGTTCTCAGCATTATAATTCATCTTTAAGTTTTTATCGCAATATCTGATCCATCCTTGGATGGACACTTGGACGTTTTTATTCAATTTTTCCCTCCAGTTTCAACTACTCTCGTGTAAAGCTGCTGTTTTTGTTGGGAGTTTTTTCTGAAGGAGTTCCCATATGTGTTTCTCTGTCTGTATTGAATGACAGTGTTTGATTAATAAGTGACTATTGAGTGGGAAAGAACGAGTTTACGCATGTAAAAGTCACTTCTTTATCTCTTGGTTGAAACATTCACTTTTCTTACGGACGAAGCAAGTTTTTGCAAGAGTGTTAAATTTTAAAAGTCCTCTGCTTCCTATGGATACTTCAGATTTTGTTTAGCTGCTGGCTTTCCTGATAACAGCATTGTAGTTCCTGACCCATTATATCAAGTCTAACGTATTGCTTTTTTCGAAATTGATTCCTTTCTGTTGTCGTTATTTATGAAGGCCAAAGAGCATGTGAAAATCGGGTGCAGATTGGTATTTTTAAAGAGGATGAAGAAATGTTTCTGATGTAAAATTGTCAAAAACTTTTTTTATGAAAAATTTTTTTTTTAGAAATCGGGCTTGTGAAAGTTTGTCCAAAGCTGAAATAGCAGAATAACATCTTTCGACACAAGCATAATGACATACATATATTCAATTTGGGCTTGATTTGTATTTTTTGTTGGAGAAAAAAATCCCTCTAGACAGTAACTTCAGGTGCAGGTGAATTGCACCGTAGATTGCCGCTAGTCCACTATTTTGGGCCTCAGCACACAGAAAGGATCTGCAACATGTTGGACATTGTGTATATATAAAGGTTATGCTTCATGATTTGTATATATAATATATATATGTTAGTTCTCTGCTGATTGATGATTAATCTGATTATTTTTTTTATAATTCAGTGGAAAATTATTATTTTAACTTTTATTGTGGTCTATATTCTACTTCCTTTATAAATTGTTAAACGCTTTTTACCTCTTCGCTCTTACTCTACACTGGTGATTTGTTTTCCCTTTAACTGAGTGAAAATGGAAATTGTTTGATTTTTACTAATGCCAAAATGTAATATCATTGTTTTACAGCTGAAGACAGTATGTTCGTTTTGATGGAATTTAGCTATGTACGGACATACTTGTCCAAGATGACCACCAGTTGTTGAGGAGATAAGGGGTCAACTTAGACAGACAGTTCTTTTGGACAGTGTCATTACAATACAGAGGGAAAAAAGATGCAAGGGGAGAAGTGGGAAGTGATTGTTCTGTTCCGGTGGTCATCTTGAACAAGTTGCCTTTTGAGCAACTGTAGTTGCTCTAGCTCGGACAGTTTTTGTACTTTAAAAAAAAAATTCTGTTGTGGCCAGTGAGACTCCCATGAGGAGAGTCCTCATGTAGTTTTCCTGTTTCGATTTATCTACCCTTTTATGGACTATTTTTTTGTGGTAATCATGATGTGTGTTAGTGGAGAGGGGCATTGTCATGAGTCTTCTTCTGGTTTTCTCTGTATTGGGCATTAAGCTTGTGTTATGGGAGTTGATAACGAATTTTTTGTTATATTATTGTCAAAATGTGACTAAGTTTGTCACGTCTCTACACACTTACGCTGTGTGTCCTGGCATATGGTGGAAGTCTCTTGCTTTGCCATGTAGTTTTGTGCTGTGTTTCATTCTGTAATTTTCAAGTTCCTGTCTTTTGACCAAGGGTCTCTTCTTGCAACATGTGTGTTGTGTGTGTGTGTGTGTAAGGGGGGTGTAAAGGGGAGGGGGGAGGGGAGGGGTTGCTGCCGTTCTATATATTTCTTTTGGTCTTCTACTTTTATTTATTTGTTTCAGTCTTTTAAAAATTTGTTTGCGTCTGTGATCTTTGAATTGCTGGCTTGTGACCAAGGGTATGGTTTTGATTTTTTTATAAAAATAGACCCTGATAACTCAACAATGTGTGTGTACCTTCAGAACTTTTGAAAACGGTCAGTTTATGTCCCAAAAAGGCATTAAGCCTGTGTGTGAAACCGAGACCAAAGCTTTTGTTGTTTTGCTTTTCCTCAGCATTATGAAATTAATGGACATCTCTGTTTCGTTTCAGTTCGATTTCAAAGTGTAAATTGGGTTTGGAGGTTGTTGGGTGTAAGATGATAATATGTTTTGAGATTGTGTTTCTTTCATACCTAATTGCTGAGTGGATAAATTAGCATTATACATTGTAATACATATATGTATTATAATACGTTTTTCGTCTGCTCATATTGTGATTTTTGCTGTGTTTCGGTGTCTATCACGATCACCGTGGCTCCGCAGGTGATTTTTGAGTCTGAAGACCCATTTTGTTAGAATTCTTCTGTTCTTCCTCGTGACTGTGTTATCTCGGACAATCGAGCTAAGCTAGCGCACAGTGTCTCTGCTGTAGCCTATTGGAGGTTTTTGGTTTTTTTCTTTAACGCTTACAGTACCACAGGATCATATTATAGTGAAATACCCTCAAGTACCGCACCAATTTAGAACACTGAAGCCGGGGTTGAATTTTTTTTAATTAAAAAAACCCCGGCAGCCCAAGAAACACACTTTAAAAATTCATAGAGATTCATCAACCATTCAGCTATCATATAGAGTGACTTTCTTTGGTATTTTCTTCACTGCAATGCGCCCATTCGTTGTTTAATCATGTTGGTTGCATCGTGACTAAAGTCGCCAGATGTAGTGAGGACACACTACGGCCTGACAATTTAAGTTGCCGACGGTACTTTAAGTGTTAAATCTTGTTTGGCTGGTAATCTTTTGTTTTTATTAAAGGCTAGTACTGGAGCTGAACTACCTTTATTTTATCGTGCAATGGTGGGCTGCTCACTCGCCTCACAAAAAGGGCATTACGATTTTAGTCCCACATGTGTGTAAGTTGTTTGATTAGGTGTTGTCTGTTTTTCCATGGAGATGTTGTATCCTACTGTATATTGTGTCCAACCCAGGTTTCAGAGAAGATCAAAAGTGGGTGGCTGGCGAGTGCTCTGGTGAGGTTGACGGGTGCTCGGGTGCAGTTTTCTCCTCCTTTTTTTATGGAAACAAACATCTATCGTCCTTATTTGTCCTCCTCCTTTTTTTAGGTTACTCTCTCATAACAGCTCTAATCTTCAGTACTTATATATGACCTATTTGTGTTGCAAGTGCTGTAAAACTGTTACTAAAATTAGAAGAAGCTTTTGATAGCCCACATCCTATTTGATCTACACTGTGTTTATTGTTGGGGGGG